GCGCTTTTTTAACTTGATTGAAATTGATCATCCCGTGGTTCGCTATATGGCTTTCTTCCCGAACGTAAATGTCCCTGATCTTCCTATGGATTTGACCGGTCTTTTGTTTGCACTGTCAGGTCTTTTGTACTGCAGTAAGACTCGTATTTGCCCACTGAGTATTGACTGCAAGCTCTTCAAGAAGCGCATTAATTTAATTGGTGTTTATCACTTCATCTACCTACTACCTTTACTGTTAAATTGTGAAAATAATATTTGAGAAAATTCAATAAAATTCATTTAGGACCACAGTATAAAATTTTAGTTTAGATCGTACGAACTTCTTTACACGAGTAAAGGGCAATTGTATAACCGGTCAGTAACATATTCAAATGATTAAAACCTTTTTCCTATTGATTTTGTTGGGGAAAAACCATATTTTCTCTAAATGGTGTTTTTAACAAACAGACACTAATTTATGATTAATTTTATTTTTAGTGCTAGTCTCAGGACTCAAGTTGAGGCTTCCGCGGTGCGGAAAGTTGTTGTCTACTTAAATACAAAAAATCACATTTTTACCAGAATCTATAAAAACACTTCATCACACAAAATTTTTCCGCTAGCGGGAATAGAACCCACAACCTCTGACTCAAGAGACATGAAATATTATATACTAGCTGCTGCAAATATTATATACTACGTCTGCTATAAATATTATATACTACGTCTGCGTAGAACAGGCTGAAGGCGTAACATCCAGACAGAAAGACAGATATACATAAAAATATGTATATAAATTCGTCAGAATTAGCTATTAACGCTTAAACCTATATATACTTATATAAATTACACTAATGGCAAAGATGAAAAAAAAATCTTTTTTACATTAAAAACATGTAGTCAAAAATATAAAAGAGTTTGCAATAAAAGAGTTTGTTTGCCTAGCTTGAGCTTCAGCCTGCTTTACGACGTAATATAGATTACGTCGTAAAGCAATAGAGGTAAATATATTGAGATGATTGAGACGGTTGTAAATATACCATTATAAAAACTGGCGTCTAAGTATGATGCATGGTAAGGAAAAAACGAAAGGTTCGAGTCATGGCCAGTCACTAAAAGAGTGATCAAAACCTGTTTGATTAAAGCGGGCTTTTGAGACCTATTTGAATTATTATATTTGCATTATTCGGAGTGTTAATTATTTAAACCGGCTTACGTAATAAATGGTTAGTTTTTTGCATGACCAATACATTGATACTAGACGAAAGTCTAGACTAGATTAAATTATAGCGTAAACACGTTTTTTATTAGTATTCGTCGCTCAGTCACGAACAGTGCCCAGTGGGTGCTGTGCTAATATTCAATTAATGTTTTGTCGAAATAAAAAAAAATACCAAATCCCAAAGTATCATGCCAATTACGTTGTTTCCTTAAGTTAGCTTTACCTGTGGTAGGGCCACGCAACAGTCCTCGCTGTTGCACATATGGGAAGGTACGTCCGGCTAAGTACCATAAATTCACAGAAGACCTGCGTGAAGTGGAAATTATACTTCTGCGTTTCGTCTAAAAGAAGTGTCATTCTATGAGGTATGAATGAAACTTCACGAAGCATTTCATGGTCAACAAATTAAATCGTTAGAGTTGTGATTCTTTAGTCTAAAAGTGGAAATAAGCGATGATAGGAGTGTTATTGTTGTGCAAAGTGAAACTACGGTGATTTGGCAAAAGTTTTTATATTTCAACCCTCTTAGCTCAATAAAAAAAGTAAAGCTAACAGTCGGCCTTCTGTGAGGTCGTGGTACCAACCCGGACGGACCTGGCCATTAGTGCAACAGCGAACACTGTTGTGTGGCCCTACCACTTCGCTTGCCACCTCCTCACATAAAGAAAAAGAAAAAAAAGTAGCTAAACAAGATATCTTCATAAAAAAATCTTTAGACGAATGTCCATTGTATTGCACATACGAGAGAGAGTAAATATTCTCCGTCAAAGATTAAGGACGCGAGAGTGTGTTATCGTTTATGTGATAATTTAAAACGTAATTTTAAATTGGAGTTGTTTCGAAGCAAGAAGCTCGGTTTTCAGCGAAACATGTTAAAGGGCATAAAATATCGATTTATTTTTTAAACTTCTCTTGACGCCTCTTCTCACCAGAAGAGTCACCACTTGGTGGTGTAGTCGCCCAGCTGTTTGTTTCGGAACCGTGGAACTTGGCTGCAGATCTTTACACGGGACATGTATTTTTGTGGCCCACAGCTAAATGTTTAGATTCTTAGTGTTTGTTATCAAGAAGGGTTGACGTCATGCAGAAGGGCGGACGGTTGTAAGAACCCACCCACTAACATGATCACATGTTGTGCCGACTCAACTTAGGTGGAATAAGAGCAGGAGGATGATGATAAATCTCTTCTGGATTCAAGATCCTACCTCCGATCAACCAAGCGTAGGTTCAGACGCATCTCTCTTATTTTATAAAGTGTGTCATTATGTCGAGGAGATTGCACATGTGACTATGCTATGTGTAAAACGCTCTCGTAATATTTCTCAGATTAGGAATTTGTTATATTTAGTATATACTAGCTGTTATCCGCTAGTTATCCTATCAGTGCAAATGTGCGGGATGTCGATGGATGCATGTGGCTTAGGATCGTACTTCATGGCAGTTTATGGGGGAGGCCTGGGGGCTGAAGTGATGCCTATGATGATGATCCGCGGCTTCATGCGACTCAAACAGGGCTTTTTAAGTGACTACTTAATGATTATGATCCTATGTTTGTACAATCATACAATGTCTTTATATATTTTAGCCTATGTGTTATCAAAGCTATATTATTGTAGTTTCATTAAAATGAGGTTTTTTTGTGAAAGTGTATATCCACCATACATAAAACTTTCACTTATCATATACTATGTTACGTCTGCGTAGAATTCAACATACAAAAGATATCTTAAAATATGTATATAGCCTATGTCTTATTCTGATGTATAAGCTATATTATTGTAAAGTTTCATAAAGTCCATTCAGTAATATTTGCGTGAAAGATGAAGCTTTCGCCTTAAATAAATAGCTTTTCGCCCGCGGCTGCGCTCGCGATGAAGCTCTTAAATAAATATCTTTCTTTAAAAACTATATAGGGTGGGTGTACCAGTAACAAACCGATTAAGCGAAATTTTGAAATTAATTTTAATGTTGTGCCTTAACTATTACTACTACCATTGCAGAAAAAGAATAACGTACTTCTAGTCTATCATAGAACCATGTAGTATATTTGGATTTCCTTAACAGCTGTTAAGTTTCTTTTAATTTAAAATTGAATGTGGAAAGTCGCAATGTGCCTAAGGTTGACCAGATTGTACCAGCTACAGACCAGACATTGTGCCAATAGTGAACCAGTAAATGAAACAATTGCTTTTAATGAAGAAAATTATTATTAATTATACTAACAAGTTTTGTACTTAAAATCATCATAACTTTTCATCAATCTAGAAGTTACAAGTAATACTTAAATGCTACAAAGCTCATAACTAATTTAATGATTAGATAATTATCAAGATTCATTATAGATAATTATCAAGAGCTTTTTTTTTCCTATTCTTCCTCGATTTTTTCTTTCTCATTCCAATATTGCATCCATTCGCTGTTATTTACTGCATCAGGTAGGCGAGCTTTTTTACGCCTTTTCTGGTTGCCTTTAATTGGAGATTCAGAGGGCCACACAATTGCTGATGGAAATGCAGGGATTATTGGTTGAAGGTGTTTCATAATAACTACCATTTCTTTATTGACTGGAAATCCTTTTTGCCATCTTCAGGATTCTTCCTGCTTGGCCAATATAGTGGAAGGTCCCATTTTTCTTTGAATATGATACTTCAGTTTTATTTTATTTATGACGGTATTGTTTGGTTTAAAGGAGGGCACAAACACACATATCACATCTCTATAACGCTTAAATCCTTACTAATGTAACCGCGAAGGTTTGTATGTATTTTATACATATACGATATATGGATGTTTGTTACTTTTCACACAAAAACTACTGAATGTATTTTAATAAAACTTTATAATGATATAGCTTATAAATCAGCATAACACATAGGCTATAATATATCTGGATATTGCGTGAACTGTCTAAAATATAGGTAATTTTATGTGTTAACTAAGTAGGAAAAAATTCAGCCATCTGCGAGATATTCTGGTGTATAATAAAAAACTCATTGTTAATTTCCTTTTGCTACGCGGGTGAAGCCGCGGATAACAGCTAGTTATACAATATTTCCACAATGTGTTCTCAAATGGGTTAAGGCTTCAAAGGGGCCAAGGCTAAAGTCTCACTTTCGATCGACACGTGCTGAATTCTCACAGAATGTGTTCGTAATTAATAACTCACTTGGTTTAATAATCACAATAAATTGTTATTAATTTATTTTAATTAATGTATGTTCTTTATTTTCTATTGTTATGATTGTGAAAAGATCATGACGAGTTACGAGATACGGACGATTTTGTGATACGACCAAATTGTCCTTTGTTTTTCTTTCTTTTTTTCTTAGGATAACATTATCCTGTGTTGTAAGGTCTATTTACAAAAATAAATTTCATTTGACAAACCGTGGGTCGCACAAATAGTTGTCCCGTGTGGGAATCGAACCCACGGCCCCGACGAAACTAATACTCTGCTAACTGGCAACGCCACGGAGTCATCAAATCATCTTTATTTACGTAACGGATTGATGATACTGGATTGTATTGGCCTCATATAGACTTAATTTTAGTATACCTATTATACACGATGGCAAAGTAATATATAATTATTATAGCATATACATACTTCATTTTCTTTTAACTATTTATGGTTTATTATATTCGTTTTTAAGTATCATAGAGTTATATAAGCTTTGTAAAATTTTATTTCATACGAATATATTGTTCAAGAACTCTTGGAAAAAGGCCCCGATGGCGCTTGTGTACTCCCGCTTCTATTTCTTTTTTTTATCTAATCCATTAAACGTTCTCTTTACAGAGAGACGACCGATCGCTCCTAGCTCAGTTCTTCTTCGCGGACGACGCCCTGAACATGGTGGCGGCCGAACTGGACTCATTCGACGGCCGAAAGGATCCAGAGAGGTGCTCCACCCTCGTGAACCAGTTGAGGCACGCGCAGGTTCGTATCTGGTGCGAAATAGCAAACCCCACAGACGGACAATACAGACGCCATCTAATATAATAAAGTAACAGCCTATAGATGTCCCGCTGCTGGGCAAAGGACTCCTTTGTATAAAGGGTATCATGGCATAGTCCACCACGCGGCCCCGCTGTTGATTGGCGGACTTCACATATCTTCGAAATATTTTTTGTTATTATTTCGAAAATATGAAATATATTTCATTGGTGCCGGCATCGGGAATCGAACGCAGGTTGCTCGAGTATGTTCAATTAAAGGCGAACCCACTGAAAGGCGAAGACACTGAGCTGTCCCGACTTTATTGAGCAATCACAACTCCATCTAATATAGATGATGATTGGTCCTCAACTAAAATCAGCGTTGTAGCCTTTTAACTGCAACATTCTGCTGAGTGATGTCCTTATTTTTATGATGTTCGTCGTATAATAAATAAAATTATAAATATTGGGGGTTTATGTCAATTTTTTACTATTTTTATAAAATATATTTGTCTACATTAGTCTGTGTTATTAACACAATAAACACAAATAAGCCTCTTTGTTACTTATTTCTTACGAAACATTTTCTTGCGTGCGATTTGTATTTTACATTTCACTATGTCTACAGAGATTTTTTTATGTGAAAAGTTGTCAAACGAGCAGACGGTTCTCCTGATGGTAAGTAAATACCGCCGCCCATGGACATCTGCTACACCCGAGGGTTCCAGATGCGTTGACAACCTTTTGAAAATTGGGCTCCGGCTACCCCACTCACCAGACGAAACGCGAAAGTATTTTTCATACTTCCACTTTACGCTGGTCTTCTGTGAGGTCGTGGTACTTACCCGGACGGGCCTGCCCATTCGTGCAACAGCCGAGGCTGCTGCGTGGCCCCACCACCGTAAAAATTACTATAATAATTAGATCTTTGCATCCGTTGAATTATTATTATTATTATTTTTATAAAACTTAATGAGTTGACTTGTACACGAATTTTATCATTATTGTCATTAGTCCATCTAAGTTCACCGGTGGACATAATTATGCATTCCCAAGAGCACCCTTGCGAACGAACAATAACCGAGTGCTATTCTCAGTTCACATCTTGTAGCCGTCATAAGTGTATATTTTCATATAAATCGACGTTCATGTGGATTGGTGTTATGCAGTTGAGTGTCTTGAAAAGTCTTTAATGAAATCCGAAAAACTTAATCATTTGGGTACGCCACAATATATATCAATTATTTTAACTACATCATGTATGAATGTTCAATACGATTTCAAAATAGTTTGAGAGGTTTTTTAAAAACGTATGATTCAGGACGAACATAACCAATAGCACGATCGTACAAAAATCATAATATATCTCATTTATTGTAAATATTTTGATTTCGTGTTATCTTCTCTATAATGACTAATAATAGCTTATCTAACGGTCATAGAGCGTCGTGAGAGATTTGCGTGTGAACTGGTAACAATATGAGAAGAATGAGTGAAGGAATGGAAAGGATCTATTGTAGTATGGCCACGCGGCAGAATCGGCTGTTGCACGAATGAGCAGACTCGACCGTAAGTACCACGATCTCACAGAAGACCGACATGAAGTGGTGGAAGTATGTATAACACTTTTGCGTTTTGTCTGGTGAGTGAAGTAGCCGGAGCCCAATTTTCAAACGTTTGTCAACGCATCTGGAACCCTCGGGTGTAGCAGATGTCCATGGGCGGCGGTATTCACTTAACATCAGGTGAACCGCCTGCTCGCTTGGCAACTTTTCACATAAAAAAAAAGAAAGGAACTTGAATGATTTAATGTCAGTTGGTTTCACGTTTCTACTGATTGTGTGACGGCGAATTTGTTTCATAGTGCTTGGTATAATGCGACTCAAGGCGAAGGGAATTTTCACTCGATCTCGTGGAAATGACGTAACGTTAGATGCGTTCAGTTAAAAATCAGTCTTTATGCGATCGGCTTAGGGTCAAAAATCGTATAGCAACGTTGACATTTACAAAGTACTGAATCGGTCGTTATTGTATGCCGAAGGTTTAACCTTATATCTCGGTTATAGAATGTGCTATATTCATTGTTATTACGTAAGATGCGGGTGCGCGGTGGCTGCTTACATGTTTTGGAATGCGTGAGTGCAATTGGTTTCAATCGATGGCCATGCTCTTTGTGTTTAAATATTCATGCAGAATTAAATACGTGCCACATTCAACAGCGGTTTGTGTTATTACAAATAAACGAAAGTTGAGGCGGTGAGAGAGGATTGGTTTGTTCTGGTTCCGAAACCTTAAATTGTTTGGACTGTTTATTTTTCTTTTTTTGCTAATTAAATAATACCAATTTCGAATATGTGTATACAATGTATTATAATGATTCGTTCTGTAACGTTGGTTAAATAACATAAAATATAATACTACGGAGTTGAATGAACCCTTACGCTCCCATCAATTATTGAATGTGTAGTTTTTTTTTTGGCCGTTTTATAATATTGTTTAAATAATAGTACCCGGAGGACCGAGCTTTGAGCAATTGGTTTCAATCGATAGCCATGCTCATTATGTTTAAATATTCATGCAGAATTAAATACGTGTCACATTCAACAGAGGTTTGGTGTTATTACAAATAAACGAAAGTTGAGGCGGTGAGAGAGGATTGGTTTGTTCTGATTCCGAAACCTTAAATTGTTTGGACTGTTTATTTTTCTTTTTTGCTAATTAAATAATACCAATTTCGAATATGTGTATACAATGTATTATAATGATTCGTTCTGTAACGTTGGTTAAATAACATAAAATATAATACTACGGAGTTGAATGAACCCTTACGCTCCCATCAATTATTGAATGTGTAGTTTTTTTTTTTTTTGGCCGTTTTATAATATTGTTTAAATAATAGTACCCGGAGGACCGAGCTTTGAGCAATTGGTTTCAATCGATAGCCATGCTCATTATGTTTAAATATTCATGCAGAATTAAATACGTGTCACATTCAACAGAGGTTTGGTGTTATTACAAATAAACGAAAGTTGAGGCGGTGAGAGAGGATTGGTTTGTTCTGATTCCGAAACCTTAAATTGTTTGGACTGTTTATTTTTCTTTTTTGCTAATTAAATAATACCAATTTCGAATATGTGTATACAATGTATTATAATGATTCGTTCTGTAACGTTGGTTAAATAACATAAAATATAATACTACGGAGTTGAATGAACCCTTACGCTCCCATCAATTATTGAATGTGTAGTTTTTTTTTTGGCCGTTTTATAATATTGTTTAAATAATAGTACCCGGAGGACCGAGCTTTGCTCGGTTTGTTTTTTTTTTTTTTTTTTGTAAATCGTGTATTTTGGAAATTACATTAAGATACAAATTACTGAGTAATGAAATATGCATAATATCTTTCGATCTTATCGACGTAATAATAAGAAAATATGAACTGATGTTTTTCACAAAAGAAAGAACTTTAAAAAAAAAGGGAATAAAATAACAAATCGACAAAAAAGTTAAAAATAAAGAAAGCAATGATATGGAATTGAAAAAAAAGTTAAAAAATAAATGTGTAAATGATCGTGACGCGATCCACGGCCGTCTGTTTTGGGGCCGCCCGATTACCGACCGAGCTATTATGACATTTTCGCTTGCGGCGAAATTTACCGTCATATTCGAATTATATTTTTCATTCCCTGAAAACAGGGATAAAAGGACATTTTCTAAAAATGAAACCTAGCTAGATCGATTTTTCGCCCCCAAATCTACGCACATGCTACATTTCATGAAAATCGCTGGAGCCGATTCCGAGATTCCGATTATATATATATATATATATATATATATATACAAGAATTGGTCGTTTAAAGGATAAGAGATAAATTATTATTATACTACCGAGTTGAATGAAAACTGACGCTCCCATCAACTATTATTTAATGTGTTGGTATTTTTTTTGAGTATTTACGCAACCGTTTATAGTTTTGCCATGTAACGTTAAATATTTTAGCAGCGTTCTTATTATTACGATTAGCTGATGGCTGATTAAAAATGTTAGTCTAATTGGACTTACTTCTCTTAAATTTAGTTGTAGTATACTTCAGTATTTGAACTTAGGTCACGATAACTTCAGGAGGATTTATATTTTTTCTCTCCTAATTCGAAAAAGACAAAGGCATCGGTTGCAACTCTTTTAAATGTTTAAATGCGAATACTATACGTTTAAATGCGATCGATATTCTCAGCTCCGTTTCAAATATTCAACTTTCGTGCGCCAAGATCAGGCCGTTACGTAAACGTTATAACTTTTTTTCAGTACAATTACAAGAGTTGTTCGTTGGTTAACGATCAACGAACAACTCTTCGTGTAAACAAAGATCTCGCAATCTTATCGGAGAGCTAGCACACTCGTCGGCGAATATCGCGATTAGGGTTGCCAACTATACTTTATAATAACGTATCCTACTTTATTTTTGGTAAAGACACTTTATACTTTGACATAAAAATAAAGTATGTGAAAATACTCTATTCTCTACTTGAAATATGAGATACTTTATTTTTCTCAAAAACTGTCGACAACCCTAATCGCGACGCCAGATAGCGTCGGAGTAGTGACGTAACTAGGATGGCGTTTCTCCTTAGACGGTCGCGATTTGTAATTGACGTCCGCCCTGGTCGGCCATTGTTGCGCGCCGCGAACAATTCCCTTATCGGGGTCGTTTGACGCAATTAACCGTCCCCGGCTCTGATGCCCTGGTGCCGAAAGTGCGCTTGTAAATAAATTGCAAAAATGTGCATAACTATTACGGCTATATGATGATGTATAATTTACACACACATTATAGAACAATTAATGATATAATTACAAATTAATAATTTATAAAAAAAATACATAATTTTTTTAGGATTTTTTTTTAAATTCCCCATGTCCCGTGATCGAGTGCACAAGCACGCACAAGCGTGAAATTGGATTAAATGCGATAAAATTAAATATTTCAAGTGATAAAATTA